AAATTATTTTAACCATGTATAAATAATAATTTTCCGCCAAAGGGGATTCAGATGAACCTCCAAGCGATAAGTTGGCTCCGCCACTACCTAGTGTAGTTCCACAAAGTGGATTCTGGGAGGGTAAAGTGTATGCCAGCTTATCCCTACCTTTGAGTGGAGAGATTTTTTCTGACAGACACTCGGCTCGTGCAGTTAATATTAATAATCTATTAATAGATTGAATTGTTCTGTTGAAACTGCAGCATGTGTGGGAAGTGTACCTTGATACGAAATTCTTTTATCATAATTATATAAATGATGTAATATGACTTTTGAGAATGGAATTTCTACTTCTAGAAGGTGTTTCCCTGAGACTACCTGTTTTATCAGAGATTTTAGATCCCCCAAGTCTCTAGGTTTTCATTTGGCTGTGTTAATATGATAGTGCTTGTAAGGTATACATTTTGTTTGCATATAGTGATTCCACCACATTGATCTCTCTGAGCGCTCCATAGAAGATACTTGGTTAGTTCCGACTGCTGTGATAAAGCTTGAAATCAAGCATGCAAAAGGGTAACTAGGGGAAGAACTGAGTTTATGAAGTGTTTGGTTCAAGCAACGAAATGACTTCCCATAATCAAGTGTATTTCAAGAAAAAGAAGGGAGAAGTGAGAAAAAATGTATATTACATAGGGAAGAAAAGCCAAAAAGTGCAACATCTTATGTGTTGGAGACCTCAGATGTGATTAGAAATCTCAAAAAATTTCTCGCTGTCTTTATTCTTCACTGCTGAGAGCATCAAAAGATTAAGTATACTAGGGATGAAACCCCCTAGATTCACCAATCAGTTTAGAAAAGAAAACAAGAAAGATAGTCGGAAAGACCAAGGAGGAAGCAGTATATGCAGCATTTCTTGTGGCATGCATATTTCTTGATATGTTTATCCAATTTTAACTTAATGAGCATTAACTTGCCAGAATATATCAGGATAACAACACTCACATATTTCACGTCTTAACTTCAGGAAAAGTACACAGGATGGACAAATACAAAGCACAATGCATTTCTGGACTGTCTTGAATCTTCATTTGTTAAGCAGTTACACAGATCCATGGCATTGCGTGCTGGATCTGTGGAAATGAACCTGAGCTGCAGAAATTTGTCAGAAGAGTTATCTTTATCTGCACATGTTAACAAAGCTTCAAAGCAGGTCAGGAGCCTAATTTTAGTTCATTCTTTATTTCTAGAGCTATAACAAGGCCCTTTTTGGCTGCATTTTAACAATGAGCTGGGCAGAGGCAGAAATATATTTTAGGGCTGGCGACAGTTTCACACCAAAAACAAGTCTTACTGATTTACTGCACTAATCGGACTGTAAGTGTAAATCACGCAACATCAAGAAGAAAAAGAATTCAAAAATACACAGCTGATATTCTAAATGTGTGTGTTGAGTGTTTCTCTATGTATATGTATGCATGTAGTTAACATGCTACAATTCTGTATATGTGAAAATTTGCTGTGTGAGAAATAGCTTAAACATTGATTTGATGCGATCATCATTTTACATAACCACAGGCAAATACTTGAATGGAAAAGAAATACTACTTTTACGGTCTTAGAAAATTATATTTATTTTGTTCTACAAACAATTAGGTTATATAAGTATATACAAGTAGCATATATAACCAAAATAAATTATGATGATGAACAGATGAAGTAAATATCAAGTATCTGATGTGATCTTCATTTTTTGGCTTTTCTTGAATGACTTCTAAAGTTCAAAGAAACACATTTTGGTGTCTTGCCTTTTTTATTTGAGATGACAAAATTCAAGAATTGAGAGGGAAAAATTAACGTCAGGTATAGCCATTAATAGGAGGAGGCCATGGAGAGAATGGGGAGAGAAGAAGATCCTGATTCTGTCTTACTTTACAAGTGTAAGTGATCCATTGTAATTTCGTATTAGTTGGGGAAGGAAGCTTAATTATCAAATTCCTACTCTTTACATCCTTTCTCTTTTAGGAAGATATCCTTGCTTTGTTTGAGAATGAAAACTTGTTTGTAGGTTTCATGCTTTCTAAAGGGATGCTGGTTGAATATAAATTTTTGCATAATATTTACAGTTGCCTGATTATTTGCCTCCTGTTTTGGTTTATGGCTGAAGTACTTGTGAGCGGTATCGCTCTGACACTTGAAAAAATGCACTCATGTTGGATCCTCCAAATATGCACTACTTCTGGAGGATCCAATATGCACCATTGACATTTTGGAAGAGTCCTAACAACATAGATCACTAGGGATCTGCACAAAATTGACCCCTCATGCCCCACTAGTTTTCAGTAATGACAATGAAAACAGCACCCACCCTTCTTACAAAGAAAATAAAAAAATCCTTGGTGGATCTTCCTTGACAGTTTTTCCCTTCTCTTCCAGTTACCTTTTCTGCGTCATGGCTCTTGGAAGAAGATCAAGACTGTGAGGCAGCCACCTGTTGTGTATATCGCAGCTGATTCTCATGATTGCTTGAAATATCTACGCGGTGATGGGCATCATCAGGTTATGGATAGCCAATTTTGTAGTGAACTACTTTGCAAGGGGAAACAAACAAGCGATGAGAGGTCTTCTTCATCTTGTGTATACAAAACAATATCAAATTTAATCCCTTCCAAACCGGGAGAACTGCAGAAAACAGTTTGTAGAGTTACTGGTAAGCACTTCGCTACGTTTATGTTAAAATTGTTTTTAATTGAGGATTCGAGGATGAACTGTCTTCAGTAAAGACTTAAATGTGGAACTTGTCGTTCTACATGCTTAGATTCCTGGGATTCTGAAAAACCAAAGGATCATTTTTTATGTAAACATTCAACACAGGTACATTATAGTTTGTGTAAATTGTATATTTGTTAGTATTCTTTTTGACATTGTTAGAAATTTTGCAGAAGGTTCAGGTCAGAATTTCTTGGATGAAGATTTAGATGAAAACACGAGATGCAAAAAGATGAAGACAGCTTCGGTGGACACTACAGAGCAAGAGCAAGTAATGTGCATCAACTTCTTCCCATTACCTTTGAAAAAAATTATTTTTAATGGTTGTAAAAAAAGCCCTTACCTCGTTGCTATATGTGTACTTCAGGTCGTTCCAACTAGGAATACGAGAGTTCAGGAGTTGCTAGTACCATGTTCCAGAGAAATAACCAAGTAAATCTTGGAAATTCTTCACCAAACAATGACGGGAGCTAGTTCTATGTTCCAGAGTAGTGACAAAGTAAAGCTCAAAACCTATCAGAAGACTATGGCCAATGTAAGACTTTTGAAAGGTAGCTGAGGGGTGGTGAAATACTGGAGAAGTGGACTCTCAACGCAAGGAGTTGGTAATTATTTTGTTGCTTTTCTAAAGGAGGATGTCAAATTTGAGAAAGGTGTACGGGATGAAATCAAATTTATTGCAGGTAGTAGAGTGTTGGGCGTAGCATTTTTTGGGTTAAAGAAGTAGAGTAGGAACATTCTAGCGTGCATTTGCACAGTGTCGAATATAGCAATAATGCTGTAAATGACATGTAGATAAGTATCCATACAAGCGTAAGTGTTTTACACGAGAAAGAAAACATTTGGGGGTGGGGAGAGGGCAGGGTAACTAGAAAATTATCAGTAGAGAACAAATGTCTACATAAACTTTAGCTGGAGGACTTCAATAGCTAAATTCTTTTGTTTGTTTTTCTTTCATTTGAAGATGCACATGTACTTTTCTACGTATATTTAGTGGAATTCTGTCGATCCTTGACTGTGTCTTCAGCTTCTTTTTTTTCGTACTCCTGTTCTCTTTTATTTGGCACTGTTTCTTTGTTCTGATCTTCGTTGCAGAACAAAGTCCCGTGTTTCAATATTGAAAGTGGAGTTATTATGTGTGTACGATCTATTGCAAGGTATGAGATTTACATTAATTTATTGGAAAGCTAGCATATGATCTTGAGCTCTCCCACTTCAATGTCAAGCTTTTGGCCTGTGGTTTTCTTTGGATTGTATCAATGATACGGAGCCATCCACCTCTCTTCGTGACCGTCGTGCCTTGGATGGTGAAGCAGTCCTGGGATAAAGATACAAGTTTGGTTCTTGTTTAGTCGACATACTTGAGATAACTTATTCCACTATTTATATCATAGTGATGCGATAAGTTTTCTCATACACAGGGTGAAATTAAGTTATCCCATATACAGGTAAGATAAGTTGTTCCATATATAGAGTGAGATAGGTTATTCCAACATAATTGATTCAGGATAACTAGTTTTTGAGATGACTAGTTTTCAACCAAACGATTCTTATAATGGGGCTAGAATAGTTAGTGATAGTTTAAAAAAACTACGTAAAAAAATCATTAATCAAATAGTAACAGCTAAATACAATAGCAATTCAGTAGTAACCACACTATGATCTAGCTAAATACAATAGCAATCCAGTGGTAACCACACTATGAATCCAGTGGTAACCACACTATGATCTAGACATACCGGTCAAGTGAATGAGTTGTTTGGTTTGCATAAATAAATATCTCGTAATTATTTTATTTTCTAATATATGAATAATATTTTATTATTTTATTATAAATAGTGGGATAAAACAATTTTGAAACACTCGTAAACATGAAATAAAATAATTTGATAATTTGTTGTGGAGTATAAAATTTGATTATCCCACCAAACCAAAAGAGCACAAAAGATGAAAAATTATATTAAACACGATTAAATTTGGATTATTATCGACATAAATAAATTTTAAGTAGTACTTCTCTGTTTCATATACTTAGATTCTCATATTGAAAATATACTTTTTTCAATTTATTTCTCGAATTTCAGAAATTACAAAAAAAAAATCTGTTATAATTTTTTCCTTAAGAATTTAAATACAAATTTGGAAAGTGAAATCAAACCAACTTGAAAAATAAAATAAGGACTCCGGCACACGTGTAAATTATACACTAATTTTGGAAAAAATTACATTATATTATATATACTACAAGTTTTTAGTTGTCCAATATACGCCAAAACCCCTCTCCAGTATCCTAACGCCACTTTGATAATAACGTGAATGAATTCCAAGAAATTCAAGAATCCGCTTGTCTCTTTCTCTCAATTTTAGCGATTGATGGCTACTGGTATTCCAATTCAAAGGTTCCCTTGGGCAGATGAAGCACCCAGTTCAATTGGGTCATCCTCAAATTCAAACATACCCAATAGAAAATGGCGTAGTTGGTTACCTCTCTTCGTTGCCCTTGTGTTTATAGCAGAGATTTCTTTTCTGAGTAAAATTGACATGGCTGAAAAAGCCAATCTTGTTAATTCTTGGGCTGACTCCTTCTATCAGTTCACAACGTCTTCTCGGTCCACCATTGAACTGGCTGTTGATGAGGCCGAATTGGGTGTTTTGGTTAGTGAGGTCGATCAAGGTTTAGTACCAGGGGGCTGTGAGGAGTGGTTGGAAAGGGAAGATTCTGTGGCCTTTTCCAGAGATTTTGACAAAGAACCAATTCTTGTTCGTGGCCGTGAACAGGTTACTTTTTACTTCTGCTTATTAATGCATCCTTTTCAATTTATTTGTGGTTTTGATTTTGATATGGAGTTTAAGAAAGTAAAAAGACTTTTAAATTTCGTGGTCTTAAGAGATGTCACTAGATATGAAGTTCAAGAAAGTACAGAAACTTTGAATCTTCTGGTGTTTAGTATTAAAAATATGTAGAATGTACCAAAATAAAGGAGTTTTTGTCTTAAAGATGTCACTCGAGGAGTTCAAGAAAGTAAAGAAACTTTTGAATTCGGTGGTCTTTCAAGATGTCATGTAGAAAGTTAGAATTAAAGAATTGTAAAAAACGGATGCAGTTTTTTTTTCTTTTTTGTTGAATTGGAAATAAATGGGCCAAATGGGCATAATGGATAATGAGGATCCATATAGTGGAACTTACTAGTTTGGGATTTAGAGCTAGCTTCTTTTGTTTTCACCACTGCGTTTAGTGATATTCCCAAGTCTTTTTGGATAGTGCAAATTTTTTTTTATGGATTTGCTTGCAAGTTATGTAGAGCTCTTTTATTTATAGGGTGAAGAGTCTGCTTCCTGAATCCCATATGTGTTGACATCATAGTATGCTTAAGAGTGCATGGTTGACTTCAGACTTTTGGATTGTTGCTCGGATATAGTGTTGACATCATAATATGCTTAAGAGTGACTGGTTGACTTCAGACTTTTGGATTGTTGCTCGGATATAGCAGGAGAGTTTTCTTAGGTTTGGTGTCTTTTGGTTGTTGTGATTTCTTTGCGAGGAGACTTTAGATACGGGTTGAAATTTATGATCTTATATTGAATTTTGATGTCTGTTCAGTCACTACATTATACAGAATTTGATGTCTGTTCAATCACTATATAGACATTGAACTCCTGTTCGGTGGGATGTAAGTTTGGAACCAATTTCGATAAGAAGTCTGATGCAGCATTTCGGCTACCACGACAAGCTGGCATAGCTAGCGTGCTACAATCTATGGAGTCAGCTCAATACTATGCTGAGAACAACATTACTCTGGCACGACGGTGGGTAAGCACATTATGAAAAAATCTTATTGCATTCCCTGCCGTCAATGCACAATTGTCTTTCATTTTTTTCTTAAGTAACATTTTTCATCACATTATTCTTTTGTATGTTATGCATTGTTTTTTTTGAGACAAGGGTAACTAGTATGTTATGCATTGTTATTAGATTTAGATAGCTTTTGCATTATAAGCACATTTGCAGCTATAGATCCTTTGTCCAACATTTTGTCATAGGCAAGATGTTTAAAAACGGATAACATGAATGCATGCTTCGTTAGGCACCAATATATTCCCTGTAGAAAATAATTCAGATTCAGATCGACCAAATAATCACAGGGCCCTGCATTTGCTGTGTTCTTTGTTCAATGTGATTTTTTGAGTGAATATTGTTGGTTTTCTTCATTCCTTTAGGGGCCAAAGAATAAGAATTTGGCTTTTCCTGTATGGTCAATTTGAGGATGAGGGGAGAACTTAGTTTTTGAGTGGTATAAGTCAACCTATTTTACTTACAAAGAAGTTCTTTTCTTTTTGTTTACTATGTCGGATGAATTAGTAGGGGTTTACTCCTCACGGCTAGGTAATTAGATATTATGGGACCTGATCAGAACTTATTTTCAGTGTCTAATAAGAATAATTTTTTGAACAGTTAAGGTGTTGAACAAGTATGAGGTTTGGTTGGGTGTCTTAAGTGAATGCTATGGATAACTTTAAGGGGTGGTATATGACTTAAGACCTTACCGAACATAAGTTTATGTGCAACCATACCTATTAAAACAAAAAGAAATTATTAAAAAGTTGCATCTAATTGAGCACCACCCGATACTTGACGCTATGCAGCAGCATCAATCATAAGTTTGATCACAAAGTTGATTTATCTACCAAAAGATCATTGGATTATGTTGTAGTTGAGATTTTTCTATAACCTTGCTTAAAAATTGGCTTAGCATTATATACATGGTATTTATACCAATGCTACCTGCCATGACGGATTCTGAAATTCCCTTGGTTAGTGCTTTTTCTTAATATCGAATCACAAAGTTAGTCTATGCAGCCAAAGTTCTCAAGGATCCTAGAGTGGTTGAGATTTAAAATTTGCATAATTTTCCTGACCTATTTCATTTTTTTCACTCACATACAGAAGGGGATATGATGTTGTAATGACAACAAGCCTCTCTTCAGATGTTCCTGTTGGGTACTTTTCTTGGGCTGAATATGATATCATGGCTCCAGTACAACCTAAAACAGAGAATGCCTTAGCAGCGGCTTTCATTTCTAATTGTGGTGCTCGCAACTTCCGCTTGCAAGCTTTAGAAGCCCTTGAAAGGGCAAATATCAGAATTGATTCTTATGGAAGTTGTCATCGTAACAAAGATGGAAGAGGTTAGTATATTTCAATTATCCAACTTCTGAAGAAAAAGGATAAAATATGGATGGCATTTTCTAAGTAAAATAGTACAACTGTGGAGCTAATTCTTGTCCTTGGGATAATATTATGGATTTTGATTGACTCTTCCTCGGTGTCACCACATTCCTTCAGAAGACAGGTTTTTTCCACCAATGTGAACTTTATGTCTTTTCTCCTGGCTAATAATGTAAATATGAATGTGTGTTGTCTTTTAGTATTTTGGTGTGGGTGTGTGATTTGAGTTTATGCTAGGCCAGTGATTTTGCCATGTCAATGGGTTATTTTGCATTTGTTCTTGCTTAAAGTTTGAGTTGAAATAAGTTGGAATATAGTATTTAAATTGTTGAATTTCATTCTGAAGAAATTACATTGAGATTTGTTGAAACAAAAGTATACCGAGAAAAGGTGTTGTGGATAAATCATCTGTCTGGATGTGGTTTCTTTACATGCATTTGGTTTAGGTGTACCCTGATATCCCATTAAATCTTTATTATTACTTGTCAAAAAGGAAAAGGAAGTCCAATTAAATCTAACTTGTGGTCTCTGTTCTCAATCTGATGGCAGTTGACAAAGTGGAAGCACTGAAGCACTACAAGTTTAGCTTGGCTTTTGAGAATTCTAATGAGGAGGATTATGTAACTGAAAAATTCTTTCAGTCTCTTGTAGCTGGTAATCACTTTTGTATTTCTTAGTTGGTAATGTAGACTTGGGTTTTCACTGTGATTTTAGCTTAGTCCTCCCTCCCTTACAGGTAAGACATATGTGCTCATTGTATGCTGATGTGGTTTTAGTTAGATCTTCTGTATTTACTAGCAGATCTCGGACGGTGGAATTTCTTTTGATGAAGTAATTGGCTTCATTTAGAGGCACATCAAGAAGATGCATAATAGTCAAAAATATAGAAGCAAAAGCAAAAGAAAACCTGCTAGCTCCTTTTAGGAAAAAAAAACTGTCTTATGACCAGGGAGCTAACAAAGAGATGCATTGGCCACATTTAGCCTTTCCTTCCATCAAAACATCTTCTATTCCTTTCAATCCATATGCTACCAAAGATATCAGCAAGCATCACCTTCCAGATGCTGTATGGCTCTGTCAACTTTCTTGCTGCTCCAACTCTCTAGAGTGTCATTGATGCTGTATGGCATACTGTATGCCATTTCCCAAAAATAGAATTAAACATATTCCATAGATCTGTTGCTAGTGTACTGTGCATAAATAAGTGACTGTTTTTGCATCTGTATGACACAGTATATAAAACTTACAGTTACTTACAGAAGTTGTAGGAAGGACAAACATTTGAGTTCTAATAAATTCTTGATACATTCAAAAATGGCTTGGATTTGAACTTGTATTTCTGTAGAATGAGCAATGTGAGTCAAGCCAAACCACTGGTCCAACTCTTGGCAAGCCCAGTGTGACGGGCTTGACCCAAAAGGAAACCCCCTTGCTTTCACTGGCAAGGGGTTTCAAACTTGGGACTTCCAACATGGAAGTCCCAAGCCCAAACCAGTGGGCCACCCCGAAGGATTACATGGGCAAATAAAATGCTCAAATTAAGCGAGCTATTCCATAGGAGTGGAGGTTTTACCCTGTGCGCACCCAAAGGGTAGTGGCTTCGGGTTTCCCTGGTCGTAAAAAAAAAGAACTCCTAAGTTACCAATTTCAAAAAAAAGTACTCTTTGGCAAACCATCGGGCCCGGACTAGACATACTAACATGACCATATTCCTGATTAGTGGATATTACCCATATAGATTTTTTTCTTTCATTGTGCCTTGTCTTTAGACAAGTCTGAATGGATTCCAAGAAATTGTTGGTCTATCTCGTTCTTCATTAGCACCTTTATTCACCATGGTTTTACACCTAAATACCGGTTCATCACATGATATGACCAGATTATCTCAAGTGACTCTCTCTCCTTTTAGCCCCAATGTTTGCTACTTGCACCTTTTGGTTGATATGGTTCTGTTTAATCTCTTCTAATCATCTATGCCCCGAACATCCATCTTAGGATCCACATCTCTTCAATACTCATCTTGTCAACATGTTGCAGTTTAGTGGCCCAATATTCACTACTTGTAGAACTTCTCCATTTCAACCATCTGGTTTTGATTCTAAGATTAACCATCTTCATCTATTGTCCCATTCTCTTGGAATTGCATTTAGGCACCCAAATCCTATCTGACTCACCTTAACTTTGCTCTTCATGTTGACTAAATTTGCAGTGCATATATTCAATCTTACTTCTGCTTGTCCTCCGAAGTATGAAGTGCTTCTCCACAATTCAAGCTTTTGGTTGACACCGTCACCGATGTCGTCAATTAACACAATATCATCAGCAAATAACATGCACCATAGAACCTCATATTGTATTTTCTTAGTTACCTCATCTATAACTAGGGTAAACATATCGGGGCTCAATGTCGATTATATATATGTTCTAAGACTTTTTTTGTTCAAGGTTTATCCCATGTTTGAGATTTTGACAATCTTACCAGTTCAGGTGAATTGTAAGGTTTTCAACTCTTTACTGCTGACAAAAGTAAGTCTATAAAACTTGTAGGATCAATCCCAGTGGTGGTTGGTGCTCCAAACATCCAAGACTTTGCTCCTTCTCCTACTTCAGTCTTGCACATTAAAGAGCTAAAAGACGCTGCATCAGTTGCCAAGACTATGAAGTATCTTGCTGAAAACCCTATTGCATATAATGAGTCATTAAGGTATGCATCACTGAAAATTGTTCTTTTTGTTTGGCTCCAGTTCACTTGATAATAGGATGGTGCTCTTCTTGCTGGAATTCCCTCAATCACAAATTTGATTATCCGGTTCTCCTTTTTGGATTATCCCAAAATTTATCCACTTTTCCAATGTATAGACTTTTCTTTTTCCAAGTCATCTGCTACCTTCTCAACATAAAATTACTAAGTAATACTGACCCATTTCACTAAATTGTTTTCACTTCTGGTATTTCCAGTTTTTAACCAACTTATATCTAGATACTGCTGTTTAATCTGAGCTGGATAAATAATTTGGGATGACAACACAATGGCTCTCTCTCTCTCTGCTTGTTTATAGTTATTAAAACACTACTACTTCCCTTTTGAGTTTTACTAAATGCTTCTTAATTTTAATGAGACATCTAACATATGATTTTCTTTCGTCATTCAGGTGGAAGTTTGAGGGCCCATCTGATGCCTTCAAAGCCCTGGTTGATATGGCAGCAGTTCATTCATCTTGTCGTTTGTGCATCTTGTTGGCAACTAGAATCCGGGAGAAAGAAGAGCGGAGTCCAAAATTTATGAAGCGTCCCTGCAAATGTACCAGAGGGACTGAAACTGTCTATCATGTATATGTACGTGAAAGGGGGAGGTTTGAGATGGATTCCATTTTCCTAAGGTATTTTTAATCTCCAGTGACTTCATTCTGACCACAAATATCTAAAGCATATTTTCTTTGATTATTAAAAAGATATTTAATCATATTCTCTGAATATGTTAGAACAGATACGTGTCTACTTGTCCCATCAGTTCAACTACTTTTATCCTATTAAGTGTTTCTTTTTGCTTCATTTTCTGTTGTTTCTCACTCATCTACTCAATCATTGATAATTTTTGACAAATATTCTCCAGAATTACGCTGACAGAATAATATTTCAGATTTCTATTTTCTGAAATCTCCGATGCTTTTCTTTGATCTCTGGGAATGGTGTAGACTCTTCCTTTGTCTTTGTTCCTTTGTCCAGGATGCACTTGAAAAGAGTTATCATTTACTTTTCTCTCTCTCTTTTTTCTTTCACCAAGTTACGTGATTATTTTTCATGTTGAAGAGCTAAATGGAACCTAGTTGGTGTTTGGCCATAGGATTTGGGGGCTCAGTTTGAAGTTTTTATTTTAAACCAGCATTTCTTTATGAAATCTGCACAATACTTCAACTTCAATTTTAAATTCAAATTCTCCGAAAAAGTAGGATTTTAAATTTCAAGTTGCAATTTCAAAAAATTTTAAATGTAAAATTTGAATAAGTTTATATTGTGTAAAAAAGATCCATAAGCTGGTAGATATAAATCCAACCTTACCATATTCATATTTACAACCATATTTACTTCTACCAACCATATTTTTATTAAATGTGTGCTCTACATGAAGAGGTTGTGTGGGAGGATTATATTAAAGAATAGTGACACTACAACTCATGTTCAATTTTCTTTTTTAATGAACTAAAGTTTGATCAATACATGTATTTTTTTAGAAAGGTCTTTTGGTAGTGTATGGTACTTTGTTATGAACTATTTTTTGTTCATTTGGTAAGGTTGTACAAGAATTGGGGAAGTTCTGATAATTTTTAAAAATTGTGAGGTTTTCATGTTTATGAGAAAAAATACAACTTACGAAATTCAAATTGCATGTCCGAACAAAATTGAGTTTCAAATTACTAAAGCATGTCTAAATTGTCTGCAGCCTCTGTTGGCCCCTTATACTCTCCGTTTGTCTCCATGTTTAGGCAAAGATAAGAGCAGAGATGTTCTCACTTTTGATTTTCATGATCATATTGCATATTAACCTACCAATTAGCTGCCTGGCTTAATGAGTGTTTACCAAGAATGCATGTGAAATACATAGAGATGATTTCAACCTCTGCATCAGCAATTCTAATTGATTCATAGGCTGAAACAGGAAGTTCCTGAAAATTGTTGGTAGTCGAGCAACTAAGAGAAAGGACCTTGGAACCCTTTTCATTTAAATTTGCTCTGAAATTCTTAGTCATTATATGGAAGTCTTGCACCCACTATATCTAGCGACTTATGTCCTGTACTTTTTCCTTCTATTTAATTTATGCCTTATCTTGTTGATGTTAACTTTGAATGATCATAATTTCTGTATCTGCGCAGGTCAAATAATTTATCGCTACAGGCCTTTGAATCTGCTGTGCTTGCAAAATTCAAGTCTGTTAAACATGTCCCAGTTTGGAAGGAGGAAAGACCTCAAGTACTTCGCGGTGGAGATGAACTCAAAATTTATAAAGTATATCCTCTTGGCTTGACACAGAGACAGGCATTATACTCCTTCAGATTCAACGGGGATACTGAGTTCAAGAATTACATCGAAAGCCACCCATGTGCAAAATTTGAAGCCATTTTCGTATAGTTGAAGTTTAGAATTTTGCTTGTATCAGAATTGCAAGCCATGGTGTAACTCTCTGTTCTTTGCGTGCGCCGTGTATTGGTTCTGGATCTTGCCATATGGATGCAACCAGGGAGAGTCAGGAAGTGATTGTTACAAAGGGTGAATCTGATATTTGGTGTAAACTTCTCATCCTTCACATTTTCAAGCACAAGGAAGGTTAGGAAGGATCAAAATTTTCCCTTTTTATGGGTATGTCCATAAAATAACTTGTGATTTTTAGTGCGGTGAGGAATTCGCTAAGCTGATGGTTTAGCTGAGAGTTGTAGTTTAGTTCAGACTGCAGGTTAGTGTTACAGGTATTGACAACTTTTAGCAACGGTTATTTTTCTTTATAAGAAGTTTATGAACTTCCATACTCATGAATATAAGTTTCTAGCTATGACTATAGTAGTTTTTGTGTGGTTCATTAAAGCATGAGAACATTATGTATCAAACAATAAATGATCTATACTTCATAAATATAATTTGGTAATTACAATTCGTAGTTATAGGGAGGAGAGTGACGAGTGAGAGAGGTCAGAGAGTAGAAGAGAGGTAAATTGTATATGTGTATTCGTTAGATAATTGTATATTAAACTTATGTATTTGTATATTTCAGCGAGAGAGACTGGGAAAGGGGGAGAGAGACGAGCTGGAGAGGATAATAATTTGTATAACTCGCATCTCGTTTGTGTAACTCGCAGATACTTTTGTATAATTCATGTGCGTTTGTGTAATTAGGTAATATAAGGTCTGGAATTATTCAAATATAATAAAACTAGAAATAAAAGATTGATATAAACACATATGGACTTTAAACAATTATATAAAATATATTTTACATTATATAAAATTATGTTATACAAATTCAAAAACTATACTTTTATACAAACTTTAAATAATTATACACAAAAAGATTGAATGTATATGATGACAGAATGGAAAAACCAAAGGAAATCATCGTCATATACAAATACAAATAATCGTATATAAATACAAATCAAACAAGGAATTGTTAGTTTGTGACGAATTATGCATATACAAACGTGACTATAAATTAAAAGCCAACTCACGTAATTAATATGTAATATTAGTAAAATATCGGATTTCTTTAGGAATTGAAAAAAATGACTTTCCACCTCATCTTAGGAGATTAGGAAAAATAAATTTTACAAATTGACGTTCCTCATTACTAACGAAACCTCACCCACTCATTACTAACGAAACCTCACCCAATTTATAATCCAATTATAGTATCAAAATTATCATAAACACTACTAAAACGCGATGAAATTATAGATTCCAGAAAATGACATTCAAAATTATTCGAGTCCGAATTGAAGCCCTAATTAAATTTAGGTTGAGTCGCTTATTTAGGAGGACCCTTTCTTTCAAAATTGAATTAGAAATTTATGATTAAAAGTAAAAAAGTAAAAAATCCCGAATCAATTCATGCACTTTTTTTAAAATATAATTTTATAAATATTTATGATTTGTTTTAAAACCTTTAATATATTATTTTGAAAAAAAGTTACCTATGAAGTAACATCACATAATTGAGACGTAAGAATAATTAAGATGATTTTTATCGGTGATTTTTATTTAGCCACTTGCATTAATAATGTGATGGGTTTATTAATTTAGAGGAATTTAATTAGTAATGGGTGAGTAGTGGATTGATTTATAAATTATACTTATAAGTTAAATTATAACAAATAGTTGAGCGCCACGTATTTTAAAAAATATTTAAATAATTTAAATATAAAACCGTTAAATAAGTGGTCAATTTTGAACCAAAAAGTGGATGACATGGGTGGGAGGATATTTTAAAGCCAACAGGTGGATGGAGGGTAGTTTTGTACTATTTTCAATTCTTTAAGGGTATTTTAGGCCTTTTGCCGTTCAAAATTCATGGCTAATATTTAAAATTTGCTTGCTTGCTTTAATCTTTAATTTTATATTTGTAAATTAAACTATACGATTTTATTTTAACTTCGTGATGATTGAAATGAGTAGAAGCAAACACATTCGTTATTAGTCTCTGATCTACTTTCGTGATATTACTTACTTATATTAAGAGCCTGTTTGGTAATGTTGTTGGCAGCTCATAAGCACCGCTTTGAGTAAAAAAATTATTTTTTAAAAGAATTAGGTGTTTGATAAGTGTATAAAATTATTTTTACATGAAAGCAGAAACAGTTTTTTAACGATTGAAAATAAGCTAAAAATTTATGACATATATATTATTAATTAATATATCTGACATGTTCGGTTAAGTTTTTTTAATAATTTTATTTTTATTTATATTTAATAAATTCTATATTTTATTTACATTAATGTATTATTTTTATTTATTATTTTATAGAATTAGAAAAAAAGTAACAACAATATTTTTGCAAGATTAGAAAAAAAATAACAATTCAAGATTTCACCCCCCCCCCCCTCCCAAAAAAAAATGTAAGATATTGATTGAAAATGAATATGATAAAATAAAATTTTGATTTTGTAATACATGTTTAATTTAGTTTATCTCTGTAAAGTTATCTTAAAATTAAAAGTACATTAATATTTGTCATTTGTCGTAGTTTAACTCTCAAAAGTATTTTTTTAAGAAAATCTAGTCAAACACAATTTGCTTATAAAAAAAATATTTTTCAAATGAATTAGCCAAACACAATTTATTTTTTCTTTTCGAAAGCACTTCTCTGAAAAGTTATTTTTTTAAAAAAAATAGTTCTAAAAATAAGTTACTTTTAACCGGCAACGTCAAACATGCATTAATCCAATTAAATTATTCTCTTAATAAATAAAAATTGGTCAAACATATATGATCAAAGTCATAAATGACATATTTAAGACGACAACATCTAATTTAATATCGAATCCATCTTAATTTAATTTCATACCAAAAATTATTGCTGATGGACAATAAATAATTCTCTAATTCAAACTATACAAAGTTTTAAGCCTTAATTTTTCCTACAAATAAGAGTCAATCTTAGGCAAAGAAAACATACAACAACGACAACAGAGTTATTTGATTCCCCATATCTAAACAAACGCCTCTTCCCTCATCTTTAGCTATGACTACAGATATTGCTTCGATTGAGAATATCACAAAGAGAAAAACAAAAAATAGTGGTATTTGTTGGCAATAACATAATGGACTCCTTATAAGGATTTGAGCTAGCTTTTGGAGTGTGAATTAGGCCTAAAACCTAATCTCAATAAGGTATCGGAGCAGGGTCCATCTCACCCGATGTTGTGGCCCCCAAAATCAAATTGCCCATACACGAGATGCTAAGCACTGGGCATGAGCCGTGAGGTGGGGTGTTAAAAAATGACAAAAGTTTCACATCGATAATTAATAAAATAGGTGAGACTCCTTATAAGACTTGGTCAATCTTTCTCTGTATGAGGTAGGCTTTTGGGGTGTTTGGGGTTGTCCTTCTCCTCATCCTACTCTTTCACTTTCTTCAAAAATGTTGGATCCAATGGTTCCACAAATGAATTCTTCAACACCTCTACAATTGGATCTTAGATGCCCTCCTAAACTGACCCCTACTATGCTTCCAACAACGTCTTCATCAATGATGGCTCCTCCGATGTTTCTATTAAACTTTATTTGGCTAGATTGTATTGTTTTTTTTTTATAGTTTAGTAAGATTTTAATTATTTGGTTTGATTGTATTGTACACATTATAATTTATAAATTTACTAAATTATCCTTAATTATTATAGGGTAAGAAGTTTGGCTAGGTTCAAATAATCAAGGTAACGGGTAAAATCGTATATTGAAATATTAGATAAAGATATAATTGAAAAAAGAAAGGGCGTCAAGACCGGGTTCCTACTTTTTCTTTTTGAGAAAGAAGAGGTTACTGGACAAGCGAAAGAGATGCCGAAAGAGCAGATGCACTAAATTGGTTGTTCCATAAAATAGGGATTTTCATTATTACGTAACAACGAAATTTAACAATACAGTACAATACATTTTAAGTAACAATTAAAACAAACATTATAGATATAAACAATACAATATAATATAATAGATAACAATGATCCAAACACAGTGTTAATCACATTACAAGTGGAGCCTATAAAAAATAATGTCCCCCAAATGCACTAATGCCAATGAATAACGATCAAAACTACTTAATTGACGATTCACAAATGTTGGACTGGAGTGTCGATGATAAATTAGCCTTATGTGATAGATTTGCCTTTCAACTACGATGATGTTCCAGATCCAAACAACACAATGCTACTATTTTACATGTCTAATTATGTTGTGTCATCTTTTTGCATCCTCATTTGAAGTATATTAGTCCATCATATTTTCTTTTTTCTTATGCCTGTTATTTTTATTTACTTATTAATTTATGATCGAATTGTAATTTAATGTTTATTGGTACTCACATATTATTTTTATTGTTATTGTTATATATATATATATATATATGATAATTTTTTATTCTACCAGCTTCAATGTAACTAATAAAAGATCTAAAAATTGAACATGATACTGCACTCATCTCGATTTATTTATAACTTATTTATCACTAATTAATATATATAAAAATCAACATGACTAATTAACCCTTTTATAATATTGTATTATATTATTTTGATTACTTTATTTACTGAAGATTTTTCTAAGAAAATTCAACTAATCTTAAAGAGAAAAAAAATAAGACACTAAACAAATCTTTTCTAAAGTGGAGGCGTAGTAAATTCATTTTCCTGAGTATTAATAAATCCATGGACAATTCATTAATTTGCAACCATGAAAGTCAATAGACATTGCATACTAAAAAGCTATTGCATAGTTATAAATAATTAAAAATGTTAATAATGACATAGACATTTCATAGTAAAAAGAAAAAAGAAAATTTATTATTCAAATTTGAGAAGAAAGTATGATTTTTAATAAAATAAAGCGTGTTTGTTAATAAATATATTCCTATATGTTTGAAATTCTTTTTTTATGAATAAATAAATTCTTTAAAAATGAAAAAAAAAATTATGTGAATTTCAAATTTCCTCCTCACTCAGACACTCACCCAATCCCCCAACCAACTCCCACTCCATTTTCGTAGTGTGTTCCTATATTATATATAAATAATTTTGAAATTATATGTTCTTATTTACTTATTAATACTAGAAAATAAATTAAAAAATTTATTTATTTTTTTAAAAAAATATTTTCATAGAAATTCTTTTCCGTGTATACATTTTCTTTAGTACCAAACACACCCTTAAATGATTTTCAACCAAAAAAAATAAAAAATGAAGAGTTATAGATAAATATTTTTATATATCATTTATATTTTAAAGATTGAGATATAAAAAGAAATGAAGCGGTAAGATTCATGATCGGACAAATACTCGTTGAATTTGTCAGGTTACAAGAAAAGAGGAAAACAA